AATTAAATAGTACATGAGTATAGAGATCATCGACGCGTTGTGCGCGGATTAATTGAAATGGCAGTTCGCTTAGTTTACGTAAATTATAACGAACTGTCGAGGTATCGGTAGTTGCCGACGTATTTGTTGCTGCGAATATCAGAGGTTGAGCGGGTACTTTACGATCAGCTTCACCGTCAGTTGATGTTAGATTGAACATACGCTTCTGCTGATCAGAAAACTGAAACGGCTTCGGACGACTAGCCCAGATGCCAAGAAAGTAATCAGCCATTTGCGAATGATATGTACGACGTTCCTCTGGATTGGCTAAGTAACGTTCATGTGAGACTATACGAAAAGCGCAAAGACAAAGTTCCTATTCAATGTATGTTTAATGAACCCCTTACCTTCCGCAAATTGCCGATGATACCAACTTACAACGCTCACACCTTCAGCTTCTCTTTCGACTAGATAATTCGGTAGATCATTTCGAATTCGAGTCCACAATAGCGGTGGAATCCGTCGTATAGGTGGTAGATGGTATTGGTAAACATCATTCAAAACTGTTTCGTCGAGTGATATCAGATCTTCTAGTTCTGCTTCGCTTAAGCCAGATTTTGAGGCAGTGATGTAAGATAACGCATGTCCAACTAAAATATGTCCATGTGCATTCTCTATTCGGCCAAGTAATTTATTGATTGAAGTTGAAACTGATTTTGCTAAATCTTTTTCTTCGGTTTTTGTATATGATTTCCATAGTTTGATCTCATCAAACACTAATTTAACATATAAAGGAATATTACATTCGGCAAGTCTTTCATGAACTAATGACCTAGGAGAGATTTTCGAAAAAGGATTAGTAGAAAATTGGTAATTGAGAAACAAATACCATTGTACATCGGTGATCGTTCGATGTTGACGAGCTAGCCATGCTTTGAGAACTGTTTTTCCCAGTTCCTCTCCTAATGGTTTAATCTATATATGCAAAATATAGATGATCAACAAAAGAAAGATCGAATTCGTACTTGAACAAAGTTTTCTCGACTATCGATCAGATTTCGAAGCGTATTTAGTATATTGAATATTCCAGGTAATGTTGAAACAATCTAAAAGCGAGAATTCTAATTGAATCATTTTCAAGAACTGAGTCATCGCACTAGTTTGACATGATTAGGTAGAGTTGGAGGTAGCCAAGACATCGAATGTGCGCCATCAGCAGACGATAGTTGATCTAAGGAATCGAAGAAAATACATAAAGGTTTGTCGACAGTTGCTTTTTCTAATAGACGCTTGAAGTGATTGGTTAATTGAGATAGTTCAACCGGAATTGTATTGTCAGGTACTTGATATACATAGCTTAATTGTTGACAAACACTACGCAACAATGGTCCAATCGATGAACTATCGGGTGTAGTACCGAGGAATCGAACGAGCCGTATTGGCGTACAATTTTTCGATAAGAACCATGAAGTCGATTCGGACGCGATTTTGGCTAACATACTCGATTTGCCACAACCGCCCTCGCCCCAGAGAACTACCGGTTGTTTTGAAGAACCTTGCACATAGTGTCGGACACGTTCGAGAATATCCGAACGTCCTTGAAAATCTTGACTGAAGTTATTTACAACATGAAGTTGTTGAAGGATTTCCGTGTAAACTCTAACACGAAAGATTTTTCGATAAAGACTATGAATAGGTAACTCTTACCGGTTTGAAGCTAGACTTTTTTGTTGACCAACACCACGATCGATCAATTCGACAATTCGTCGGTAGAATGTGTCAATGAAATCTTGCAAATAATCCGCATGCACATTCTTATTTAAACCATCTTCATCCGACCATTGAACTGTATAGCGGATGATACTGCTTGCTGGTAACGTTGCTGGCACCTAGAGGGAAAATACAAATGAATATGTAAATTGCTTGTGTTATTCAAATGAAAATCAACTAACGCGAACATCACGCAAATCCGACAGCATAGTTTGTGCTTCTTCATCAATTTGCTTCGATGCGATATCGATAAATTTCATCGAATGACGTAGTAAAGCAACGTTAATATTCTCAATATGGCGGAAGAAGGCTAATGTATGATCTACTGTGTCTTTAGCATTCAGGATGCCACGAACAACTTCTTGTTCAGTTACTATATTTTCAAAGAGTGCTTCCTTCACTTTTTGGATGACAAAACGAACCTACCTGACCAATTGTATCGATGATTGTCCTGTGCGGAAAAATCGCCTTTTTTCAAAAGTTCGAAAGCAGCACTACGTACAGCTCGGTTCAGTTTACCCATGGTTTCCCACCATTGACTTTGATCTTCCTCCATTAGACGTGGATGCGCTTTATTTGTGAAATTAGTAAATATTGAACTGACAGGTTGTAAACAGTATAAATTTGGAATATTATTCGAATCAAGTTTATACCATTGTTTAAGTAATTTTGCATCGACTGGACTCGAAACGGATAAAATCAAAGCAAATTCAGCCCCCTCGATTTTCGTTGGTAATGGTCGATAACCATATTTTTGACCGAGAAATACCTATGAGGACAAACGCAAATTTCAACAAAAGGAAATTTAGTATTACCACAAAATTTGGTCCAACAGAAACACGTTGACAATTATCAATTTCCTGCATACATAGTTCGGTTGTTTTATGATCATCTGTTGCTTCATCACGCACACCCCAACGCATATCTACAACCTGAAATTCTAGGCCATGCTTCTCTCGGCAATACTCTTTTAGTTTTGGATATGTATGCTGCATTAGCGAGTTTCGTTCCATACTTGTATCTACACAAATTTGCTTTTAGTTTTATCGAAAGAAGAGATTACGATCTCATCTACCTGTAAATGTTGACGAAGTAAAGATTCGGACAATTTTGGAAGTAAGACTCGGTAGATTATCCAATTTACCGAAGAAGATATGTTGAATAAGTTCTGCATCTTGAGCATCAGTAGGTATTAGTTCAGGCATTGATATTGATCGTCAAAGTGAACTTGTGTAAACGAGTATAAGGGAAAAGAAAGGAAAATGGAAAGAATACTTAATGAATACTTTACGTTTTTCTTTCTTCTCGGTTAGTGTTTGTCAATCACGATCACTTTATTAAATTCTTTTCTAATGAATAAAGAAGGAGACAGAAAGCAAAACACCCAGAAACTTCCGACAATCTTCCCTCTTTTTCCTTTCTTTCGTTCACAAATAGTGCATGTTAAATTGTTTCCATGAGAGCCTGCCGTTCCTCAATTGATCTAAATTTGTTTGCCTGTTTTCATAATTAATACCAGGAAAGAGCTTTTTGACAAACATCTTCCAAAATGAGTCATCTTCAATTCGTTGAATTCACTGCCGAACAACAGTTCCTTTCCTATAGATAAGTGCACGATTGATATACTACTCGTTATGATCACTTCATATAATATTTAACTCTATCAAGTTCATGCCGTACAGTGGCTCCCTCTTTTCATATCTCATAGATGCTTTATAATTTTTCAACACACTTAGAACCACTGTATTAAGTATCATCTTTTACAATATTCACATATTACTCCACATGACACGAAGATTTTGATGTCACTACTAAGCACATCTTAAGCTAACCTCCATTCGTCTTCTTTTCTTTTGATTGATTGCTATTGATGCAGAATTGAAACTATTGTTTCTTATACGTCAACGTCAGTGTCAGTGTCAGTCAGTCGGTCAGTCAATAGAAACGAGTCGATTTTTATTGTAATAACGTTATTTTAATTCGCATAGTCTCTTTTCTAGATAGAAAACTTCGTTGAATTAGTTCAGAGAAAAAGGTCACAATGAGCCAAAATCGTAATCACAGTCATGATAGAGCAAGTTCCAGATCACCATCCAAATCAAAATCGAGATCAAGATCGGGATCTCGATCACGTTCATTATCCTCGACATCCTCGTAAGAAACTTTGCTTCCAATTATTTTCATAGACTAATGTTGTTTTGTTCGCTAGTGGTCGCGCAGCACATGCACCAAAATGGGATGGTGAATCAGGTTACCGCTTACATATTTCACCGCTGAATCCTCGCACATCTCGACGCGACATTGAGAAAATCTTTGGAAAATTCGGAAAAATCAACGAAGTATGTTTCTACCATCTGAGAAAACTGATAATCAAGTCTAGCTATCTTGTTCAGGTTTGGATGGCAACAAATCCGCCGTGTTTTGCGTTTGTCAATTATAAACATCGCAATGATGCTGAAGATGCTATACAAGCCATGGATGGAAAGTAAGTTATTCGATTAATGGAGAAACAAAAACTTATGATTTTTATCTTCTTCTTTTATTAGAAATATCGATAATTCACGCATCGGCGTTTCCTATGCACGAAAACGTACTGTAGGTGGTCGTCGTGGTGGGTATAATGGTGGTGACCGATATTCTCGCGGCGGAGATCATGGCTCATCTAGAGATCGTCGTCGTTATTCACCGCGACAAGATGACAGGTAACATCTGGAGTTGTGCTACATGTGTATAGCTGATGTTTCTGTAGAAGTTATGATCGTCGTCGACGCTATTCACGATCACGTAGTCCAGTCCAATCAAATAAACGCGATTATCGACAAAGATCCCGATCGTCGTCACCAAAGTAATCACAGCAATACTTAACAAGATAGTATTAATATTTGTCGTGTTTGAAAAGATCACGTCGTAATCGTCCGTCGTCCAGAGATCGTTCGCCTCAACAACAAACGGCCAATGTTGTCCGCAGGTTCGTAGACAAAATTCACTTCGTATTTCCTTACGAGCAATCTTGTCGTTTTTTTTGTTTAGATACGCCAATGATGAGGATCGATCTGATTGAAATCAATATTTCGAAGAGTCTGTACACAGCGCGAATCGTCATCCATGTTTTCCTCTATGTGTTTTTTGTTTATTCTGATGGAAGAAAAAGATTCTTTTTTTCTTTGATTATTTCTGTGTACTGTATCCAGTTTGACTAGTCTTGATTGGTTCTTCTAGATTGTTGACTGGTTTCTTTTGTCTTGATACATATGGGTCGTAGTCGAGATCGCTCCTATTCAAGGTCACGCTCACATTCGCGTTCACGTTCAGGATCACTTTCATCATCAAGCTCAGGTCGAACAGGCAAAGCACGAGATTGGGTATGGCAATACTTCTATCTACAAATATTCAGCATTTTGATTCGTGTGTTCTAGAATGGTGAAGGTGGCTGTCGTTTACATTTATCAGATTTAGCCATGGGTGTTAGTCGACGGGAAATTGAAAAACTTTTTCGTCCCTTTGGACCACTGAATGAAGTCTGGGTCGCTTCGAATCCACCCTGTTTTGCATTCATCAATTTTCGTCATCGAGCTGACGGAGAGCGTGCAATGAAAGAATTGGATGGGAAGTGAGTAGAATATCCATCGGTCAGATGATGTTTGTTTATCTTTTCACTGACTATTGCATTCTTTAGAGCTGTCAACGGTTCACGCATTGGATTGAGTTGGGCCCGTCCAAGAAATCCAGGCGGACGGGGAGCTCATGCATCCTATCGTCGTAAGTTCTACAAACGTTCTTTAAACAAACATGCATCGTTACATTTGTCAGGTTCACGATCACCTCCATATCGCCGTGGTTATCGAGATTCGTATAGTAGTCGTCGTCACGATGATCGGTATAGTCGTCGTCGTTATTCAAGGTAAATTTATATCTGAGAGAAAGGATGCTTGAAATAACCAGATGATTAATTCTCCTAACTACCGTTTGATAGCGGAAAAACTAATACCATACGAGAGATGATATTCGACATGTTTCATATTCTCTCGATATAAATTTGATTATTTTTCTAGTTGTTGTTGATGACTAATGGTGAATACGAATGATTTGGTTGGAGAAGCATCCGTATTAAGAAAATGAAATCAGTTGGTTTTGGGCTCGACTTTCGTTCTTTTTGTGTCTTCTTTTCCTTCTATTCTGTTTGTTGATTTCTTGTGTCTAATGGGTGGATCGATCATATCTACTTAGTCGTGCTTTCTGGCAGAGAAACAGAAGAGATAAAGGTATGTTATCAGAGTACATAGGTTTTCTTAGATGAGTTCATAAAGATGAATATATTCCTTTCTTGTCAACTGTTATCGACTATTGAAATCGACATTTAGGAATGAAAATATCGGATTAGATGCGCGTTATTAATTCTTTCTACTTTAGAAGCCGATCGCGCAGTCCAGGCTATCGCCGTTCTGAGAGGAAATATCGGCGACGAAGTCCAAGTTCACAATCAAGATCACGAACACGATCTCGTTCACGATCCACTTCGTCTCGAGGTAAAAAAAGACTTGCCTATAAAAGCGAATAACCAAATTATATTTTCTTTTTATAATAAAAGATGGTCGACGCGATCAACAAAACAAGAAATACAATCGAGACACTGAACATCGTCGGCATCGTTCGTCGTCACACTCAGAAAATGGATCACCAGGTCACAAGAATGGGTAAATTTTGCGTAGGATTACTTCAATGAAACAAATCAACTTGTTTAGAAAACGAAATTCACGTAGCCCAAGTGCTGAAAATCATCAAGTGGCCTCATCAAATGGTCATACAGATGATCATCACGTTGAGTAAGAATTACTGCAAGACGATTGAATCAAAAATTGCTTCTATCCATTTCAGGATCGAAATCAATGGCGATAACTAATGGCTCATTTCGCCATGGATGGAGCTATCTAAAAACTGTCTGCGCGTTTTTCTCTTTTTGATTATCATGTATTTGTAATCACTCATACGTTGTTTATTCATAAATACAGCTAAAATTTTGCTTGTTGTTGTCGTGATTACGAGAAAATCATATATGAAAACACAAACATTTGATTTGAATCGATTATAATCTGGATGAAATCGATATACAATAAGAACAGCTTTCTCAGTCTTAATTTTTCATATACTTTCGAGAAAATGGACATCCTCGACGTGTCTTAGAAGAAGACTGAAGTCATTGTAACCGTCGTATTGTAAATAACTTTTCTCGATCGTGAATTGAACCGGTGTACTTACAATTCTAACATATAGTAAAAGTATTCTCTGCTTTGTCACATGATATAGCATCAAACGATTCCGTAACAGTCGAACGAAACGAACATGAAGTGTATTTCCCCTCGCAGGTAAATGCTTTGTTTTCTGTTCGCAAAAATATTTAACTGATGGCGCTAGTTGATAAATATTTTTGCATTGACTTGTTGTTCTTTATCTGTAGGGGTCAAACCATGGTCAAAGTAAAAGCAAATGGTTGCTTAGAGGAAGGAAAAAAACGAGTTCTTCTATTACATAGCAAACAAACATCACGACGATGATTATTCTTTCTTTTTTCTTTGTAAGTAAAATAATCGTGAATTTAGTGCATAAATAAAAGAAAGAAAGACTCTTATAATATGCGAAATATATATCGTTCGGAAAGGTAACAATGGTGAGCAAAAGAAAAATGTCGAGAAAGAAAAAAGAGAAAAACTGACGAAAGATTTGGCGTTTGTCAGACAAGCGTCGGCGACAATAATAAGAGAGGGAGGGAGGGAGAGAGAGAAAATGAAATGAAGGGGTAGTTGAGAAAGAATAAGAGTGAGCTCTTCCATTTCTTTTGTCAACTTTCCGATGTCGTTGTTCGTTTCATTTGTTCTGAATGATTAGAAACCTTATTGAAAGAAATGATTTCTATTTCAAGAATCGACGTGCATCTTACATGCGCCATTGACTGACTTTTCTATATACATGGATGTGCATGCCGATCGAATAGTGAGAGGATAAAATAGAGCAGACAAAGGAAAAGAACAGTCTCTATTGTTGACAGGAGAAGAAAACCGGTAGGTGTCAGATAAAAATAGATTTGTTCACGCAAACTAATCATTTGACAAACTTAACCGACAGGTTGTTTCTTTTAGATGACTGATACAGTTTCACTTGAACAATTGGTTTACCTGTCCTTGGGAGATCCTGAGGCAGGAGCAGTGAACTTCAATGTGTTAAAAACTCTTCTTTTACAAATGCTTAAAGCGATGAATTTATTCAATTATAAACCGACAATGACCGATCATGATCAACGCGCAATCAAAGAAGCGCTATCGACTTCGACAACACCGCGACAACATGTGAAATTTGACCAGGACGGATCGACGAGTCAAGTCGACGAAAGTGACGATATGAACAATGAAAATAAGCAAAAGATTCAACGAAGAAAACGTGATCGAAGTCAAGATCGTTTGACATCATTAGAAGAGAAAGTCTCGCGTTTTGAATCCCAATTAAATGCTCTAAACGAAATACCATCAAACTCAGAAATTATCGATCGTGCTAAACAAATACCTAAACATACATCTGATGACAAAAGTTCTTCCAAAGCAGCAACTCGTCAAGGACCCATACTTGAAGTTTGGCAATATACTCAAATGGAGAAACGTCTAGAATCGGCGGAAAACGGAATAACACGAGTAGGAAATAATAACAGTCCTATGGTCATATAGATATGATTGATTGTTGTGTTTAGCTCGCTTCATTACTTCAAGATCTTATTTCCGATATGAATGATTTGAAAGAATCGCATGAAAACGTCAAACAAACAACTGATGAACTGAAAAAACAACAGGACGAATTGAAGCGTCTTGTTGATGCGTTGAACAAAGAAAAACACGATTGGGTACATGGATTTCTTTATTTGAATATGATCAACGATGAATTGTCTTTTAGGCAAAGAAATCAGATGTGGAGAATTTAGATGACAAAATTCGCAACCTACAAAATCTATTAGTAAGCCTCATCATTGATTTGAATATTGATAGTTTGAATGTTGCCTACGGTAGGCATCACTACGTGATCGTTTTGATGAACTAGCGAAGAAAAGTCATGAGCCAAACATCGATCCGGCTAATTTCGTCACGTGGGATCGATTAGAAGATGCATTTAATAGTGGTCGAGAATCCATAGAAAAATCTCCTCATCAACCATCAACCGGTATGGCTTCAACGCGAGACACACGACTCACTGAAAACCAAACAGTAAATATTTTTTTGTTTGATCATTCAAATTTAACTTTTTCTTCTCTTTCTCCGTAATTTAAATTTTAGTCCGACAAACGAAAGGTAGCGAACGAAAAACAATTTGATCTTATTGAATAATGCTTTTCCTTTGTCAAGGACCTATCTGCTGGAGGACACGGAGCACCATCGGATAAACTTCTCAAACTTTTAGCGCTCTTAGGTACATTGAATGATCGTCATGAACAATTACGAGCATTAGTAGAAGAATTACAAGTGAGAACCGACTGAAAGGAATAATTAAGACCTGATGAAATCGTTTAGAATAAAAAACTTGATCGCGATGAATTCGAAGCATTTAAAAATCAGCATAAAGATTTATTGGATCGTCTTGCTGCACTCGAACGTGATTTGCAAGATATTCTCTCGAAAGAACCATCGGTGAGTAGCATTCAACACATATTTTTCTTCTTCTCAAGACAATGTTATTTTATATACCATAGCAATCATTCGAGTCGAACTTTTTCCACTCATTGAAGTAGTTGATTGTATGAAAGTATGCAGTAAGATCAAAAGAAAACCGAGTATTAATTGACAAAAATATTTTTCATACGTACGATAGAGACGAAAAAAAAACAAGGGAGCGTTTATTTAAACACAGTAGGAGACAATAGCAACGAAAGTGTATTTCATATCGTAAAATCTCAGCATAATACGAATTGATTATACCAACGAATCATGCTGGTCTTCACGACACGACTCTACACTGTTAGATGTAGTTGAACATCTGGAAGAAATCCACCTGACGGAGATTTATCCTAAAGTGAAATGAGAAAAAAAAGTGTAGAATATGTTTCCGTGAAAAAGAGAGCGAGCGAGAGAGAGAGAAAGATAGTTGGTAGAGCACGAGGAAAACACCTTTATCATCGTTGTCATTAGGCTAGTTACCTGAACTAACAATAAATATGCCGACATACTCGAGATAAAGAAAGGTATACCAGATGGTCATATATTTACTAGTTAATGTCAAACATTGATCCAATTTAAAAGGAAAATGTTCTCTTCCTACTGCCACACGAACACTATATCACTTCTATTCATCATCGATATGTGCTCTATTTGCATTAGATTTCTATGTAAATATGTACATTTCAGAAGTTCACAACATGTCTCAAGATCTGTCGACTAAAATTTTTTATTAACACTATGTTCAAACCTTGATTTATCACGTTGACTTTTCTTCTCTAGGCACCAGCGGTACCTGTAGCACCAGTGATCATCCGAGAGGAACAACCACAGGTTTGGAATGAGATTAATATGTCTTGACTGAAGGAAAAAGGCTCGTGTATTAACAGGCTGGACACCGATCGGATCATTCAGAAGATATTGCCGATTTTCGAACGGCTCTACAACGTCTACGTGAAGATCTCGATCGATTGAAAAAACTTGTTCAAGATCTGGTTAATAAAGGAAATCTATCTTCACAAGATATTGAGGTAATTTCCAAATGAATTTGTACTTATCAAATCAATGAACGTAATGTGCTACCCTTTGTGTAGAAATTGAAGAAGCTGATTGAACAATTAGAACAAAATAAAGCGGATAAAACTTATGTTAACAATGAACTTGATAAAGTAAATTGGAATTTAGAAAGTCTCGCTTATTTGCTTATTCATTGATAGAAAGCTGATAAACGCGACTTGGATAATCGTGTTCTGAAGAAAGATTTCAACTCTACTTGCAATGAACTGTCGCAAAACATCAACGATTGCATGCAGAAATTCAACGTTCACGTATGTAATCGAACATGAAATCAAACCGTAGATGTGCGACTGTCTTCATTTTAGGAAGATATTCAAAAACAAGATTTAAACAAAATGAATACTGATATTGATGGTAAAATCAATCGTTCTGAACTTGATGCTTTACGTGAATATCTGGAGAAACAATTGAAGAAATTAAAGAGATTAGCGGTAAGTACTTGCATCTCACGAAATCAACAAGTTCAGTTTTGTCCTGTGGTATATTGTCTCTGCACAATGTGAAAGAATCTAGAATAGAATTTGTTTTCTTGTTTCTTCGTTGTCTGTATTTGTTTCATGTTTTTGTGCTTTTGAAGAAAGATTCACAACCCACTCAACAACAGCATCAACACGTACCTATTATGTCTGAAGATGAAGCAGCTGGTTTACGAAAGCCGCTTATTCGTTTTCATTGCATCAGTTGTGATCGTCCCATTGACGTTCAACCACACCCGTTCGTGTCGTTTGTTATAATTGAATTTATTTTTCTTGCGTTTCGAATTTACTTTTTTCCAACGAATTTGTTTTCTTTTCTCACATGCAGACAACAGCCGAGTCTTCCAGCAAATCTGGGTATGCGTCCCATCCAGTCACCCCGACCATACACCACCTACGAACTGGACCAAATTCGCCAATTTCAAAAGAGGTTCACTTCTTTTCCTCAAATGAAAGATCCATTGAATTGTTTGCTAAATTCCATTCTAGTCAGCAGTTTAGCAATGACCTCGGCGGCGGTGTGGCAGACGTATACGCAACTGTTCGACAATGCGGTGGTTCACATACAACAACGCTACCATTTAAACGTCAAATCAAAACACAGTAATAATTTGATTTGTTTGTCTCGAGTTCATTTTACTTCATTCTTGTTTTTAGACCAACGGTATCAGAAGAAGGACTTATCGCTAAGTAACTATCCGACAAAAACGAATCAGTTAAGACCTGAAATGTTTCTCTTTTTTTTGTAGAAATGAAGTTGATATAAAAGGTCATGATGGTGTTATTTACAAGGGTAGAATCGATGTGAATAAATTACCTGCTGTCGATATGCAAAAGAAGACCTCAGTTGCTCTACTTACTCCTGCGCCGCCGCAACGATTTCGATCGGATTCTCATCCGAGTCCATATCATCATACAATGAATCATGGATCTTTTGCTAATAACGATCAAGAGCTAAATGACGTGACTCCGGTTATTCCAAATCTTGAACCAGCTTTACCGCGCGAAGAAACCTTTACTTAAATTCTTCAATCATATCAAATCTATCATCGAATTTTTCTTTCTATTTTTGATACAAGAAAATACATACATACATAATAAACATTGACTCTTTTTCTTGTTTTATAGAAACCCGACATTTGGTTTCCTGACTCTTTGCTTCTTTTTCTTCTCCTTTGCTCATTGATCACTTGTATCAGTGATAATTCCTTATGCAATCTTTCGTTCGGCTTGTCATACATTTCATATTTTCACTTATAATTTATTTTTCTCTCTCCCGTTCCATTCTTTTTTTACGATTATTCTACTAATATCCTCTGTCATTTTATTCATATTTGTATTTATGTGACCATGAATCAGTTCTTCTTTTTTTTTCTTTTTCACAATGATTCAATTTTCTTTCAAAATATATTTCACTAACCATCTATGACGTGATGAACAGTAAAACGAGATGGAAAAGTGATTTCTTGCATTCTTCTCACTTTAAGGACAAATCTATGACATTCACCATGAACAACACTACATTTAATTCATTATAATTGTAAGTCCGGTCGTGGATTCTGTGAAATTAAATTTCTGGATTATCAAATTCAAATAAACCTTTTATTATAATCAATCAAAAATTGAAACATCTGAAAAAAGCGCTGATTATCGGAACAGAATTCTTATCAAATCTCAGCTATTTGTTCGAACAGTATTCTGTATTTTCTTTCTTTGGCCATAATAGAAAAAAAAATAGGTTAACCAACGTCAATCTTCAATTGATGACATGCATTATTTATCAATTTAAAATGTATAGAAAATGTTTGTCGTACATGACATTCAACCCATCAAACATGATTTTCTTGAAATATGAATGCATTTCTATCATTTCAGAACGCATACTTCCGCAAGGAGATTGTCTTCGATCTCAAGCTGAATTGTTGGCAGAAGAGAACATTGTTGTTGGTCGCCATGCGGTGAATGTAAATCTACTTTGTATTTTTTCTTATTAACAAGGCGGATCTGTTGATTTAATGAACGCCATTCTTTGATCACTTGAAGATGATAACGATAGCTAACCTAGAAAAATGCAAATCTGTGCATAGAAAGAACGAATAGATCATATTCATTACCCAGCACCATACAATATAAATAGAAATTATCGATAGCAGGAGTGGAATATAAGATATTTTATCGTAAAATGTATTCGCTCTTTGGATCTTTGACACAGTCAGAACTGATAGCCTGAAAAAAGAAAAGTCTATTCGGATGAAATATCATCGTTAAAGAACCGTCGCACACCAGCTGATAATGATGGTTAATATACAGAATATGATTAGATCGTTGATCGAATAACGAACATCTGATGAACGAATAGGATTGGTGAAAAACTACATGAACGAAAGAATACTTCCGAGTGGAATGAACTTTTTCGAAAAACTTCATACATAAAATAGCGGTTTCGGATGTCGTACTACATCATATTCATGTTGGCATATTTCGCATTTAGTTGTATTAGATATTTCAAGCCATCGTTCAAGGCAATTTTGATGAAGGATACCCATTGTTCCCGTACATTGGCAAGGCGCAATTAAAGATTGAAGATTACTTGTTGAATAGCATATTCGACAAATTTGACCATTCTCTGTCCTAAAAGATAAAGTGCTGATCAATCCACGCGATATACCAAATGGCATTCAATACTCTTGTGTATCTCCTTGTTCATTTGATGGTGACGACTGCTCATGATTGACAGTTAAACTTGAAGAACATTCTTCCGTCGATTGTGATGCGAATGGTTCAGTTATCAAGGAAATCAGTTCATTTCGTGTTTTCGTGTTTTCATGCGCTGGATAATGGTTCAATGAGAAGATTTTCAAGATCATGAGGAATATCTTTTCGCTTTCGACATGAATAAAAACGAGAAATGATTTTGCAAAGATGAAATGAATATTTGAAAACGATTACCATCGCAACCAATCGTTCATTTTTTTCTCTCTCATTGGCGAAGAAAAACATGCCGAACCAATAAAAAACAGCTCGAGATAACCATACTAATCGACCATATGTTAGCTACTCAACTGAAAATCAATTTCAAACAAATCCGTTGTATTCTTGTCAATCTGTTGGAAATATATTCACCGATCAGTTTCTGCGCAACAAAAACCTATGTTTATTTTTCTCTTGTCAATGATCAAAGCAAATAATTATCTGAATAACAGGTGGAAATTATAATTCGACAAGAGATAATTGACATATGAAAGATTCCTCAGCCCGCACTGAACTTCGTCGAGTTAGTGACGGAAAAGGGAAGCAACATGCGCACACACACACACAGTAGGGTGACGGGCTTGTTTTCTAGCTATTAATTAAGGAAAAAAACGAAATGTCGATAATGAGATTGTTACAATTTAAACATGTCTTAATTCAAATCGAAATGATCTTTAGAGATAAACATATCGAATTATTAATCGTTTTTTCCCGATCGATCGGATATAAAACGATTTTATCGAAGTGATAAAAAAGGAAGTATACTGAAATCATTGAATCGCAGGTTCATATTTCCGCTGTTTGATGCAATCGAATGCACAGATCAATATCTTCTCACACGATTAGCACTTGCCAATGATCGGTCGGTTAAATCAACAGAAGAAGAGAACCAAGACGACAATGATGATGATGATGTACAGAATAAACAACAGTTGTCAGTTGACACATTGTGTCTATATCTCACTTAGCCAGATGATTGGACAAGATCGAAGAGTAAGTGTTAGAAATCTTTGAAGCAGAGCAAAGACAAGCTGTCACCACTAAAAACATAAGTGTTCAAATACTTGATCTATCAATTTTTGTGATCTATTCCGAGAGAGAAGAACTATCGAGCTGCGTCATCTCACACGCGACAGTTAATCAAAACAAACGACGGCAACAGTTGGACAAGATTGTTGATCTTGGTGTATATATATATAAATACGTCGATTTCATTTCTTCTTCTCATTCAATATGCATACACCTAAACTAACAGTAAGTAACAGTAATAGGTTTTGCCTGGCGGCTATTCACTTTTTCAATATTTTCTTTTTCTGAGAAATACGAGTACGTCAATCAGATATTTTCACACTATTTCATTTCTATCTAAAGCTTTTCTCGAAAGGCGTGGCCTTTCTCTTTTTTTTCTCTCCTAGTTAGTACAATTAGCCTTCTATCTTTAGAATTTAGGTTCGTTTTTTTTCCTTCTCTTTCTCTCTTTCTCGACACGAATCAATCATTGAATGAAGTCTATTACTGTGTTAATGATACGTTGGACATTTAAGAGAGAGAGAGAGAGAGAGCGAAGAGAGAAAAATGACAGCACTGCATTGCTAATGAGAGAACGGGAGAAAATCTAACGTTCGAACGGAAGCATGGGTCATTCGTTGAATGTTCTTTACTTGAAATGAATTGATATTCTAGATCATATATATTTTTAGGCCATGAAACTGCGTTCACATGAAATTCTTTCGACGCGCATCAATACGAAATCGATACCAAACAAACCATCATCACGTTTGAGGAAATTATTCCATGGAAAAAATCTCTTCAAGAAGAAAATTCCTCCCGCATCATCATCATCATCAACTGGAGCAACAACACCACTGTCGACTGGTTTACTTCACGGAATTCCTGATTATGTCCGAAAAAGTTTTCTTCGTTATTTGCTCGAGGTATAATTGGTATTAATTAGAAATTCGATGTTATTTTTCTCTATTCTCATGAGTACTTGTCAAAAGTCTTGCTTCGATGACAATTAATGTTGATACGACTGATTAGGAGATGCGATACAGACTAGTCCTGCTGAGCTGTTTTTTTCCTTATATATGTATATAAAATAACAAGTTGTATCAATTAAATCAGTTCATTTGCTTGTTTTTCGAGAAGATGAAAGTGCTCAAATCACTTGTTCAATGCGTTGTTTTGCTTGTAAGTTGTCTAAACTCGATTTCTTTTTATTTCAAAAACTAGTCTCCAACTTCTTCTTCTTCATCTTCGTCGATTATGCAGCAAAACTCTCCATCACGAAACGTTCGACCACCATTAATGGGCATTCAAGCATTGAAAAATAAAAAACAACAGCATCGTCATCATCAGACGAAACGTTCGTTACGCACAAAGTAAACATTCAATTTCAATGCACCTCAGGCATTCAATTCAACTGATCATCGTATTTTCCTAGAGCTCAACCTGTGCTTGACAATAACCAACCGTTCGAAGATTATCCCGCACAGAACAATTATGACATGACAATTTTGCACATGAATTTCGATGACGAAAGTGATGAGAGTTCAATATTTGCCACGAAATCAAGTACACATCAGAAGAAACCAATTCCCCAATGGGCGAGAAGTAAGTTTACCGAAATTGAATGCGTCATCAATGACATATGTGAAAAAATCAACACTTCTTCGTAGAAAATGAACTTCAAATTGCTATGTGTAATCAAATTTATTTTCATCGTAATCCAAGTGAAATCTTCGGAAATACAATTGACTGTTCTCCAGCACATCTACGAACGATTCTTCATTCCATGCTACCGAACGTTCAACTGCTAGATGATGATCTTCCGCGTCCGACGAATCCGATACCTATTAATAGTAACAAATCGATATTGGTCTAGAACTTCGGGCTTTTTTTTATTTAATCGCGAGAATGATTGTTATGTAAATAAATTGACAAAGAGAAGCGACAGTGGATAACTGTCAATAAGACATCGATATTGATTTTCTCTTTTGATTTCATTCGCACATGATTGATATATAATTGTCGTCGGAAAAAGCGGCATGAAAATTGAACTACGCCTTGATAATACAAAAGAGGAACACTATCATCATTTTCCAAAATGGGATGAAACAATAAGTTACAAAATGAACTGCAAAACATTGTCAGATGAAATTTTCAATTGTGTGAATAAATGGCAGACAGATTTGAATGCGCATGATCAGCCCCTTGGCAGCATTGGCATGCATCAATGACGATTGACCACTCCATTATAGTTAAGCTTGATTGATCTATTGTTGTTCGTTTTTTTCAATGATGATCTGCATATGAAATTGAATGAGATGAAAAAACACATACGGAAAGTGAAACCGTTTTTAATCGAATCAATTCAACGTTGTAGCCTTTTTCTCACACCTTGAGCTCATTCGTTGTTTCTTTCCTCTTCGAAATGTTGTTCTCATGTTCATAAAGACAAATAGAAGCCTTACGTCGATGACATCATTCGTTCAATCACAAAATGCTTAATGTGACAATTAGAAAATAAGATCAATGTTTGTCTATTTGTTTACGGTGTTCTTTCTCAAATGATACTAATGATTGTGCGAGAAATTCAAGTATCTGTGTGTGTGTGTGTTCATCTAACTGCCATTTAAGAAGCCTTAAATGAAAGCGTGAGAGTTTCAAACATCAGTCAATGATCCTAAAGAAAGATCAAACAGATTTAAAAAATCGAGAGACAGAATGAAACGTATGCAGTAGTGTCACTGGTATGTTGAAATTTCTTATCGAGACATGCAAAGCAGACAACGCTTGCTTACGGAAGAGAGAAAGAAAAACGAGACAGTGGAAGAACAGCAAAAAAAAAGAGAAGTGGTCCCTGTGAGGATCGAACTCACGACCTCCGCGTTATTAGCACGGCGCTCTAACCAGCTGAGCTAAGGGACCGCGTTTATGTGTCTTGAAAAAAATCTTCTCATTCGTACCAAACAGATCGAAATATTCGTAAAACGTGATTTTCAGAACGTGCAAGTTCGTTTCTGTCATAGGAAATATTCACATTTAACCGTTGGAATTCACATTTGGTCCTTATATAAGTATTTTGAAAGCAAAAACTATCTTCACATAGTCAAATAGTTTGTTTTTTTTTTATTTTATTTTTTGTAAACACGTAACAAGAATATTACACACCGCATAGAACAGAAGTATCCGCATATATTTTGTTAACTAACCTAGAAAACGAAAAGAGATACTTTTGTTCTTTTTCCACTGGAAAATAAATCTGTATTTACTTGAGTTGTCGGTGTATCGTCTCCCATGGATGTCGCCATCATTTGTGCAGCCATATAATTAACTTGAACATTGTACGTTGCTTGAACTGATCGTTTGATACGTAACATTTCACGCATAGTATCTTCGTTACCATGTTTGATTTCAAACTCTTTCCATGTTTGCCAAAAATCACCATGGATCTGAATAAGTACGAGAACAGACTGAGTATGAATATGAAAGCGTTCAAGTTTACGTACTCGTGGATCGCACATTTGTGAACAGTGCGAATAGACCGCACGAGCTCGATCAATTTCACCTAATTTTCGTTCCAAGTCCGCATAACGCAAGCACATATCTCGAACAGCGCGTTCCTCTTCCAAGGATTCGATGGCTTTTTCATAGATTTCACGCGTTGCTGTTATACCTTGCATTTCACCACATCGTTTTATATAAATATTAAACATCTAAAATGAAAATTCCAGAACTACCGTCTTTCCCCATTGAAATCCTCACCTCTTCTTTTTCCTTTGGTTCAACAGCACTCGTTGCGCGCTCGTAAATCTTCAATGCTCGTCTATCCAGACCATGCTGTTCTTCTAATTTGGCATATAATAAATACAAATTCTTGGCAAATTTCGGCTGACAATGTTCGAGACATTGTTCAAACAAATCTCGTGCACGCTCTAATTTCGAACCATCTGAATATCGTTCGACAAATTTACATAGATAGGTTAACCATATATCATAGACATTCGGCCATTTGAATAATGCAATGCCTTTTTCGTACGTACGAAAAGCGTCTTCGAAATATTTATTTTCTTCCAGATAGAGACCATAGTTCATGATAATTTGCGGCGTTGCTATGCGTAAATCCAGAATACGATCATAGACGGATTTACATGTTTGAAATGTTCCATAACATTCTTCTAAATCGACATAGAATGACCACAGTTTAAGACTTTTATGTAATCGCAGTTGAACTGTTTCATTCGTATCATAATAATCGACCTTATGTCTTGGTAAAACAGTGGCACGTTCCATTAATTTAATTGCTTCATTCGGTCTTTCATGTTGTAATTCCATTTCACACCATGCACACCAAACTGCAGCTAAATCGTCAACATTACGAAAGTTAACCTTAACTGCTTTGTCATAGATATATCTTGCTTCATCGGGTTGTTGATATTTATCATAGAATTGAGCGAATGCAATCCATAAATCTTGCAATTTACCCGTGCAAACTTTCGGATCAACTGTTTGTACAGCTGTTGTGAATGTTTCAATGACTTTGTCATATTGTTCACCGTGTAATTTCACGCGTTTCAACCATTCATTGACATTATGTGGATTTTGACGAAGTAAGACACTATTCAGCATCAACGGACGACGATCCATGAGATATTCCAAACGTGCAAGTCGAAGTTCTAATTCCAGATCGTCTAGAATACAAGAAATGTGTTCGAATGAGTATCTCTATCTTTCAAAAAGTCATTGTTGTACCATCTTCAGTTATTTCTTCATCATCTTCGTTGGATTTGTTCATCAAAGCGCTAATAAGACCTTCTTCTGATTGTGCATAGGCATCGAAAACTTGAGTAAAATCACGTACAGTAAGTACCGATTCGATCGCTTCTTCGAATATATCACGAGCCTAGAAAAAAACAGACGTTGAATGCACTTCCATAGGCTAGCTTTCGAAATACTTTTTCAAAACAACCGCTACGAATATAGTAGTCAGCAAGTGATGTCCATAGTTGACCAACTTGATCTTTATATTTCAAAATACCTTGCCGAATAATGGCTTCGACAGGAACCGATTTGATCTTCGTTGGATTTTTTGATACTAGTTCACACAATTCGTTCCATAACTATAGAGAAAGAAATGATATTCACTAAAGAAAAACATGTGAAAAGGTTTTACCTGATGCGTTGTTTTTCCTTGTCGCGAGACAAAATTTTCTCGATTTAATACTTCAACATAATATTTAGCGCATTCATCCAGATTGCCAATTTCACACAAATAATCAATGAATTCTTCTGCACATTCAGGTTGTAACTAAATCAAACCGTAAGCATTATTAAACATACGTCTTTCATCTTACTTTGAGATATCGTTTGAACACTCGTGTTGCCGTTTCCGATATTTCCGGATAAGTAGTGACAAATTTGATGTATAATGGCCATATACGATTGTGTTGAGTGACGGGCAATGCTCGTATAGCTCGATCGAACACACGACGTGTACGAGTTATTTTACATTGGTCCATTAAAAGTTGACAATAATCAAGCCAAATGCGTGGCATCTATACGAATAAAATGTTCGGTGACGAATGAAAGAAGAGATGTGAGGACGTACCTTATGCATGAAGACAAGCGATCGTTCGAAAGTATTGTTCACTTCTTCATAGGCTGGATCGATGATACATTTTGATCGAACTTGTTTTCGTCGAAGTTTTAAATAATTATGCCATAATTTGTAGCTAATCAAAATAAAAATGAAATTTCTCAAAAGATATCGACATTAAAAACGTTTCTTTTTACCTTCCCGGTAATTCACGTAACGCACGTTCATAAACAAGATTGATTTTTTCATTGGGACCATCCTTGATATGATCGATGTAGCGAAACCAAGTTTTCACTGAATACTGATTCCGTAAGCAATCTTCTTCGTACAGTATATCCGTTTCATCCTAAATAAAATATACAATGAACAAGAAGAATTGTGTCGAAGATAAGTCTCTCACAAAAAGTAGTTTGCCCGTCGCCGTTGTGGTGTCTGATGTTGATGGTGGTGACGAACCGTTTTCCACAGTCATTGTTTTTACAACAACAACAAATTACAATGAATTGTGAATGGAATGAAAATAGATGGATAATAAAAAAGTATTTCAACACAACGTCGCCGGTATTGGCTAATAAGAATGAATCAATAGAAGATTTTCATTTGAAGAAGAGGACACTAGTGTACAGATCGTCCAAGAAGCGAGTAAATAAAGTTCAACAGGTTAACAAACCATCTCAATTTTTTAATCGTTAGACAAGATTCTTCATGAATGATTCGGAAATTATCTTATGAACATGTTTTCAAGATTGATGCAACCATCTAGAAAACGTCTGTTTCGATTCAGCGTGGACCAATTTTCCAGAGTGATGCTATATTTATCAACAATAACTCGAGTTTCGACGTGTTAACACTATGGAGAACTGCCTTTTATTTAGTAAATCGGTAGTTCTTTTTCGTGAACATCGTGTCGATGACAAAAATTTCACATATTCACGACTACTTCTCTTTTGCATATGAAAAATTTTATCAAAAAAGTACGCTTATCTTCAATACTGCCGAACAAGCGATTGCGGTACCTCGACGTCAATGTCTAAAGAACCAGTGAGCATGCGATGAGGCGTATAGGTTGATAGTACTTATGTGCCGAGGTCATGGGTACCTAGTTTACGAAGATACCGACAGGTTATTGTGATAGAAAAACTACGCAGAACAAATGCTCTTCTCTTTTCTTATCTTTCGAGCTTACTGTCTGATAAGTTACACTTTTATTGCGCAGCTGCATTCTATTAACCCGAAGAATGTTCGTGTTTTTTCCAATGAGTGAACATTTTGTTTCGTATCTAATA